TCTCATAAAGACATCATAATATGTTCAAAATAATTGATTCAAAAACTTTAATATGTGGATCTATAGTACGTAAGTACTATAGATCCACATATTAAAGTTTTTGTTTCATTTTAATAAAAATTGCAGTGTCTATATTCCATATAAGCATATAATGATTGAAGGGACTATAACAGTGAACTAATCTACATTTAAAAAAAGAATCTTATTTGAGAACAAATAGTAAAGCTTGTAATTCATACATTTCCAATAACGCATGTCCAGTTGTAGGTTAGCCCATTATTGCAGTAAGCCTTTCAGTTTATTAAATTATATGTTGTAAGAATTACATATCATTTGTATTATAATCAATTCCAAGAGTGATAAGTGTCAATCAAACAATGGCTTTACAGCTAACAAATGGTTTCTTTAGTTTTGGTTTTTGCTGCATGCAGTATTTACTCGTAATTCCAAATTTAAATTCATCGAGTATAGATCAAACGCAGGAAACCATAGCATTTCATTCTTCTTAGGAAGAAACCAACTTAAAACTTATATACTTAAAAACAAAAAAATATTCGCAATCGCATCTATTTTAATACTAAAGTGCATATGATTAATGCAGTATATCTGATATAAAATGTTATGATCCATTATAAATTTTTATAATCGTGTTAGAAATGTTAAGGATAATCGCGAAAATCAAAATGCGATGGCACAAAAGATGGTGGTTGTGTTACGCAACAGACTTTCATTCTTTAATGTACCCCTGTTTCATCTGTAGTCGAATTCTATTTCCGTACAAGCTCAACATTTCGACTTTCGAGTTTTCGAAACCGTACTATATCCTGTCAACCATTGTTGTCTGTATTTTGTGTATTATAAACCTTGTATTCATTGACAATATTATTAAATCAAAACTAAATTATGGAAATCTGGTTTGGATTATTCACGCTGTTGTATACTATGTTCTCATCAGTTTTATAGTGATCATCACACATTTCTTGAGTGGTCCGCGAATGTATCTGCTATAGACAATAATGGAGGTAAATTACACTCGAAATCGTACCAAAAATTGTTCAGATTGATCCACATTAAGAATATATTGAATAATCATCAGAGTTGTGTAATTAACTATAATTTTGTCTAAAGTACTGGAGTTAGAAGACAAGTTTTTCACTATCCTGATTGAAATATCTACAATATATTTTGGCCTGTCGGTATTACAAATAATTATGTTGTATATAAATTGTTTATGTATTAAAAAGCATGTTTTAAAAGAATCGATGACACTCTGGTTATATGCAAAAGATTGTAATAAATGATATGAAGCCACGTCTCCAATGTAATATGCCACACGCAGAGAAATCAATTTTTGCTAATAGAACTTAGAATTTTGAAAAAGCAACATCTAATGATTAGCAATGCGGTACAAATCTTCAATCTGATATATATAATCTTCAATCTGCAACTCCTTGCTGCTTTAGTCATGTCTTTTTTAATTGTCCTTCGAGTTGTATTTCTACACAATACATTGGCAAAATGGAGTACTTATCGGATTGGCACTTTCTTCTGCTTGTAACATCTCTGACACATAATATTTTTCAAATAATATTAATTGTGTGAGCCTGCGAGACGGGTAAGAATCAAGTCCAAAATATTGGTACTACCATTCACGATTTACTTAATAATATCAATGATAAGAAAATCAAATGAGGTAGCTACATTATGACGTTATCTATATAATTTTTTGTAATTATTAATGCTAACACAATCTTTTTATATCAATCTTTTTATATCATCAAATCTACTGTAATCTATAATATTTGTTTTTCAATTTCATGTTTTTTTTTTCTTGTATTTAAATATTTTTTTCTAACGTTTAACTATCTTGCTAACATTGCAGTTGCAACTATTTTCTTTATAATTATTATATCGTAAAAATACATTTTTGATAAAAGGTTTGATGCGACGCTTCTTGCAATAATAAGTAATCAATTATATGCTATAACAATATTAAAATATCTATTATATATAAATTTTTGTTTTACTTTAATGGGAAATATTATTACGTATTTACTAATCTTGATACAATTTTTAAACATGTCACATTCTTGCGACAGAGAAGCAGCAATTAATGTTACACAATCTAATTAGAAGTATATATAAAGTAATAAAAATGTTTTAAATATACTCTGAAATACTCTGTTTTGTCATTGTTAATAAAATGTGATATGCAATTTTTATAGAGATTTTTCATTAATGTTTATGTTCATATATGTAATTGATTCAAAAATTTCAATAAATGGCTCTACAGTACGTAATAATCATTTCAGTAAAAATTTAGTATCCTATTATAAATTGTATCAGTACTAATGAACGATATCTTAAAGTTATTATTTATGTGAGTATTGTAATTTCTTTCTATGAGCACACATAATGATGAAGGGCTTACTAACAGTGATGCAAACCGACATTTAAAAGAAATCTTTGAGACAAATAGCAGATCATACATGCATTTTCAATATCGCACGTTCGATTGTGCGTTATCGCATTAATCTCATCGCATTAATGGGCTAATCATTTAAATTTATTGAATCATATGTTATAAAAATTACATATCGTTTTTATTAATTTATCCCAAGAGTGATAAGTGTCGATCGAAGAACACCACGGGTACCTTCACGATTAACAAACGGTTTTGTTTCTTTGCTGCATACATTGCTCGCAGTTTCAAATTTAAATTCATCCAGTATAGATAAGATATATATATAAAAATATGAAATAAATATAAAAACCGTGCATATATTTCTTATCAAAAGCCCAACTTAAAAATTACTTGGAAAAAGAAATTTCCCTAATCGCATCCATTTTAATGCTAAAATGTATTATATATGATTAATAATGCTGTATATCTTTCAAATTGTTACGTTCTCCTATAAATTTTTCTAATTGTGTTCGAAAGGTCAAGGACAATCGCGAAAAACAAAATGCCGAAAAAATGGTGCTTGTGTAATGCAATGGACTTTCAATCTTTAATGTATCCTAGTTTCACTTGGAGTCGCATTCTCGGACTATTTCCGTACAAGCTCAATGCTTCGACTTTTGAAGTTTCGAAACCGTACTATATTCTGTCAACAGTAGTTATCTGCGTGTGCGGTGTTACGAACTTTGCACTCATTTACAGTATTATTAAATCAAAAATAGATTTTGGAGATGTAATTTGGAATATTCACACTGTTATATACCATTTTCTCACCAGTTTTATAGTGATCATCACGCATTTCCTAAGTAGACCGCGAATGCGCTTGCTACAAACAATAATGGAGATCTCTTCGAAATTATCCTCAAAGTCGTACCAAAAACTGTCCAGATTGATCCACGTTAAAGATATATTGAGTAATGTCGTCAGAATTGTGCAATTAAGTATAAAAATGTCTAAACTATTGAAGGCTCAAGATAATTTTTTCGCTATTCTGTTTGGGCTATTTACAATATACTTCGCCTTGTTGGTGTTACAAATAATTATGTTATACATAAACTATGTTTGTGTATTAAAAGCATGCTTTAAGAGAATCAATGACAATCTGCTGCACATGCAAAAGTTTATAATAAACGATATGAAGCAAGATGCCTCCAACGTAATACAACACACGCAGAGGAATCAATTTTTGCTGATAGAACTCAGAGTTTTGAAGAAGCAACATCTAACGACGCAGTGCAAATGCTGAATATGATTTTCAATCTACAACTCCTTGCTGCTATACTTTTTAACTCTCACCTTTGATTTGTACTTCTTTGCACTTGATTGGCAAAATAGAGTGTCTATTGGACTTAATTTGCACTTTATTGATGTATTTCTGACATCCCTGATACATAACATTTTTCAAATAATTGTGTGGGTCTGCGAGACGGGTAAGAATCAAGCCCAAAAAATCGGTACTACCATTCACGATTTACTTAATAGTACCAATGATGAGAAAATCAAAAGTGAGGTAACGTTATAACTTTATATTTATTACTATATATTTTTATAAAATATATATTACTATATATTTTGTTGAAAGTATGTTGTATGCTAACGCAATCTTTCTAATTAAATCTACTGAAGTATAGTTGCATTTTTTAATTATATATTTTTATTCTTATATTTAATTATTTTGCTTTTTAACATTGCAGTTGCAACTGTTTTCTTTACAAATATTGCACCGTAAAAATACATTTTCGGTGAAAGGTTTGACTATAGATGCGACACTTCTTGTAGCAGTAAGTAATCAATTATTTGTTATAATATTAGAATATATTATGTACATTTTTTGTTTTATTTTTAGCTAGTGGGAAATATTTCCACATATTTTCTAATCTTGATACAATTTTTAAACATTTCGCATTCATGCGATAAAAGAACAACGGTCAATATTACAGAATCCAATTAAAAAGATACATAAAATAAGATAAAAATGTTTTTAAATATTGAAATTGTTTGTGTTTTATTTTTGTTACCAAATTTTAATTATACATTTTTTTATAGAAGTTTTACATTTATATGATCGGTTTAATTTATAAATGTATATATAATATTATAATAGTACATAATGATTTTACTTAAATAAAAATTAATTTATTTTATATTTATTATTTTTGAGACTAATTTTTATTGCGTTTTAAAGCTAAAAAATATTTCGGATAGAGTTCGCAGAATTGGATATATTTGTAAAATTCACACCAAAATATTTTTTTGGCACTAAGATCCAAATTATACTGTGTATATTTTTATTATTTACGTCATTTATGTCTAATAGATACTTTGCTTTATTACCTTTTCGTTTAAATGTAAATTGAAACATGATGAATATAATTGCAATGAATGTTCTTTAAGTAATTATTTATAAATATTTCTTAT